ACCCCGTTCCTACTCCTGCACTTCGAGCCGGAGCCCCGGCAACCCGTTAAGTCCTCCGCGGCTCCGTATAGCCCATGGCTGGCTACGCCCATGTCCCCTGTGGCCACCATCTGCACCTGAAGGAGGCACAGAGTCATCTTAGTAGACCAGCCCCGGAGCCCCCACGGTGCCGCGCCTGTTACGCCCTTTAGAGAACTATGTGTCTACCTAGAGCCTCTGTGTGTAGTGCATGACCATTGTGCACCAAGTCAAAACCTGCAAAGTCAAAATCATTTATTTCAATTAGACCAGTAGCTGTATCCAAACGCCACTTAGCGCTTGTCTATATGTAGAATAGAAAACCAAATTATATGGAAATGACGTAAATTTTTACACTTGTCAGTGTCATCCCCATTTAGTTTTCTACTCTTTCTGTAGACAAGCGCTAAAGTGGCGTTTGGCTAAAGGCACAGGAAGGCACTTTTGAACGTCAAAACAAAATATTTAAATATTAAATAATAAGAAAAAATGTCAGTCTGTAGGTCAGTCCTCTAGTGAAGCTATCTGCAATAATATAATTACTCTTCTCAATTCACAGTTAAAAGAAATAGCAGAAATTGAAAAGAAGATAGCAATAGAAGAGAAGAACCTGTCAACATTGCGGAGTAGTTCCGCAGGGGGTCAGCAGAGCAGCGAGGATGTGGACGAGTTAGATCAATACATGAACAGTTTGAGCAAGCAGGGACAGAGTATGGCTACTAAAGCTGAGATATCTAGGACTAAGGTAAGGTTTAATGTGGTATTTTTCAAATAGTCATAACATAACATCACGCCTTTTGTCCCCGAAGGGTTAGGCAGAGTTGCACATTACAACAGTTAATGCCACTGTACAATATAACACCCACTTTTCACTATTTATGTTATGAGTCCCGTGTAATAGGGGGTGAGCCTATTGACATATACCGGGCACAATTCCAGAGTCCGTGCTACTACTGAATTTTTTTTAAAAGAAAGAAAGAAAAGACATTTATTTAGCACCAGGCACGATGCAGCATAAAAATAAAAAAAGACGATCCAGATGCCCAGTTATACTTTGCCCGACCTGGGAATCGAAACCGAGACCCCTTGCCCGGCAGTCCCACTTGCGACCACTCGGCCAACGAGGCAGTCTTTAATTAGACCATATTACAACTATATTCTTCAACAGATGACCATTCAGAAGTTGAAGGCGGATCTGTCAAAGACACAGCGTCTGGCTGAGCTAGCTCGGCCGGCGCACCTACCTCCACTCGTCAAGAAAGACACCAAGATACACATTAAACAAGCCAGCAACTCCGCTGTATATGGAAAAAGGTGAGATTTTGTCATTATCATCAACAGCCTATACATAGCCACTGCTGACCAAATGCCTCTTCTCACGCGGAGAGGGTTTTTGTAAGGGATGGAAATCATCGAATGACTTCTCCCGCCCGGGTGAGGGAGGGAGTGTCAGACTCTTACTGACTAAAAACCACCCCGTTCCTTCTCCTGCACGTCGTGCCGGAGCCTTGGTTGCCCGTTAGGTTCTCCACGGCTGCGTATCGGCATCAGCCTTATTGAGCCCCATCCGTGGTGGTCTGATGGCTCTTTGAGGCGCGCGCGGAACGCTCGGCGCCGTACGCTCGGGTCTGTTTCTGGTCGGACGGGGAGCCACCCATGCTCGCCGTCCGCAGGCCCGCGATTACGGTGGCCGGAGATCGTACGGAGAGGGTTTAAGCATTTGATGAATGCGCTTGCTCAATGCGGGTTGGCGATTTAAAACTTATAGTTAGATCAAATATATTAGAAATTACAAACTGTTGCCCGTGACTTCGTTCGCGTAGGATACGAATTTTAGAACGTAAGAAAGAAACAAAGACCTTTATTTCACGCCAAAAACAAGTGAGATATGTACAGATGTGTTATTCTACATATTAGTAGGAACATATTTTTCTTTCATTTTAAATAAAAGTTGTCTATGTTACTCCTTAAATCAGCTATCTGCCAATAAAAGTTCTGTCGGAATCGGTCCAGCCGTTCCAGAGATTAGTCAGTACAAACAGACAGACAGAAAATGAAAATTAAAAAATGTTATTTTGGTATGTGTATCGTATTTTATTCATATGCATGTAGTAAAAAAAAGCGGTATAGATAAGTCCAGGGTTCCTCACGAGTTTTCCTTTACCGTTTGTCAGTGGTGTCTAAATAATCTTAGAAAGTATATATAACTCGGAAAAAGTCACATTGGTACTTGTCAGGTTTCGAACCGATATACAGTAGCTTCATGCATAAGGAGCAGTCGTCTTAACCTACGGGATACCTACTAAACCTGGACTTATAATTTCTAAATTATAAAGTTTGAAATCGTCAACTCGCCCTGAGCAAGTGTGAGAAGAGGCAGCAGTGGCCACTTATAAGTTGATCCTTAAAAATAGAGTGTAAATTAACTAACAAAACATAAATATTCTTCTTTCCTTCTCAGATTAATACTGAAAGATGACACAGAGAAGAAAGTCAAGGTCAGAAGAGATGTCAAACAAGAAGAATCCGAATTTGTTGAAGAAATGGACGATGATGATGATGTTGAACATTCATCAAATAATCACCAAACAGAAGACAAGAAATTAAATACAGAAGGAGAAAGCAAGAATGACAGAGAAGTAAATAGAAATGAACAAGAGAAAGGAGATTCTAGCGTAGAAGAGGGAGTTAGAGAAGACAAGAGTATAAAAACAAAAATGTATGGTCCAATGCGTCCCCCTGAAAATTACGTAATACCTGAAGATTATTACGACCAGACTAGTGACAGAGATCTTCCTGAAATTGTGGAGAAAGAGACTTAGGAAACAGAAGTAAAACAACACTTGCGTTGTATGCAGCCTTTAGAGATACAATCCCCGTTCCCCCCCCCCCATCCCCATACCCCCAATATCCAAACTAAACGGCCGGCAACGCATTTGTAACTCATCTGGTGTTACAGTTGTGTAACCGGAAACCCGAACCCCCTCACCCCCTATACACAAATCCCCCCACCCCCTATACACAAATCCCCCTATTGGATATCATTCCCTATTGGTTATTCACAATCACTTAAAAGCCCGGCAACGCAGTTGTAACTCCTCTATTGTTGCAAGTGTCCATGGGTAACACCGATTGCTTACCATCAGGTGATCCGTCCGCGCGTTTACCTCTATCCCATAACAAACCATATCGTTGCCTACTACCTAACTAGAGGGACGCCGTTCTGTTATATAGGACCTTTTTATATGACTAGCTGACCCGGCAAGCGTCGTACCACCTCAAATTTGTTTTACCCGACTATTTTCTCATATTTTAAACCTTCCCTGAACTTCCACGATCATTTCAAGACCAAAATTATCCAAATTGGTTCAGCCGTTCTCGAGTTTTAGCGAGACTAAACAGAAATTCATACTTATATTTATGTAGCTGGGTCTATGTTTGTTCTCTATCTCGCCTGGTGGTAATGATGCGGCTTGCGAAGAAGCACGCCTATATAAGCAACCTATTCATTTGGGCCTTGAAGACACAGGTTATACCCTTCAGGAAACACAGACTATGGCAAGGAATTTTGATGTTAGATGATGGGACACATTTTCAAAAAATGTTTCGTCAAGTGAGTAAGGTTACCGGAGGATCAATACTCCCCCCCCCCCCTTCCCCCGATCTCCCCATAACTGAATCCCCAATAATAATCAATGTTGTTGAATTTTTTGGAAAATATAATACTTGAGTGACTTGTCGAACTCGAGGTTTCATGTTAAACACTGTTAACATCTGGATAATTTTAACTTAACAAATAGTTTGTTAATGAATTAAATAATTGTACAACTATATGGTTTGAATTTGTTTTATTTCATTCATAACTACAGTGAACTCGATAATACCTCTATACATCTTAACCTAGGATAGTACAATTCTTATTTAAAATTAATTATTATGTTTTCAGCTTAAAAAAGTAGAAGAAAATATATAAATATTTGTCTTCATCATCAGGACAAATTAATATATCTAATGAGACCAAACTCGATACTTATAGACAGTTCCATCAGCCACCTCCCGATTCCATCATCAAACCAGCTCGATGGCACCATAAGTATTGTTATCTAATCTACATACAATTACCAAGTTTCACGATGATACAACAGTAAAGGCGAGGGCCCACCGCGGGGCACGGAGAGGCTACGCACGTGTATGCTTCGCTTTGGAAGGAAATGTAAGTGGTTGTGTCCACTGCAACCCACGGAGAGACTACGTATGAATAGGGTAGACGACTAATTTTTATTTTAATGTCCGTCTGGTAGATTATTTAAAAACATTAGACACGTATTTTTTATTTTCTTACGGAAACGAATAGTTTCGAAGATATATTGATTTGAAATGTCGCGTGACGTAACTTCTCAGTACATTTTATACTAAGAAATGACGTTTTAGCCCCCACTCCTAAACTTTGATTCGTTTTATCTAAGTATTGTTTTATTATACGACAAAATAAAAAAATACGTGTCTAATATTTTTTCATTACCTAACTTACGGACTAATTAGATTTTTAATTTTCATACCCTGTCATCATCCCCATTGACGTCATTGACACATGCGTGGCTTGCTCGAATAGGCGGTTACATAGCTCACCGCAGTCGGCGTGGGTCTACATCTCCACTGGTGTACCCGAATATGTGCTTCGACTATGTAGGTACAGCTCATTTATCACAGCGCGGTTTTCAATCATAAACCTTGTGGAACGGACGCATTTCACGTCCGTAGCTTATCCGTGTGTCGTGCAACGCTGTACATAGTCGCGCGGTGTGTCCTTGTGCCTTTATATGGCAGGCTATATGTTGGCGGCGAGTATCGCAATAAATATCGGCTCACACGTCCGTTTATTAATGCTCTCTTTACAATACTGAATATAATACTGATGTGCTGTAGGCACATCCTTCGCGACGGCTGGGTTGCGAGGAGGCAGCGCTTCGCAGGCAGCTTCCTTATTGTGATATTTGTATTTGAGCGTATGGAGATTCCTCGTTACATCTTCGCTGGATATTATTCATTCCTTTTAATTCTAGGTCAGCATACAATACTTCGTTTCCTGTATTCTGAAAACGTAGAAAACAGTTATAAATGTTCGTGTGCCTTGTCGGTTGATTCGTGTGGTTGACAATGACAATGCAGCTGCCGTGCTGCCTGTATTTCCGTGAGACATATTAAATTAATTATGTTATTTGGCTTACTCACGTACTTAACTGTTTGGGAGAGTACGAGGAACTCAGTAGCAGTATGTCAGTCGCCGCGTCTTGTGTCGCGGAATGCTGCTCATGAATATGAGCCTCTAGCATGGCTTGAAACTCGTCAAGTTTCTCGTCAAACAGTTGCGTGAGTAAGCCGATAAAACTAACAAAGTTTTTTCTGTAAGTAAATAGTCTACCAGACGGATATTAAACTAAAAATTAGTCGTCTACTCTACCCTCTATTGTATTCTCGACCAGGCAATCAAACACCTTGCTCGACAAACCTATTTTTTTTTTTGAGGGGGAAAATCATCCTGTGACCTAATGACTTCTCCCGCCCGGGTGTGGCGAGAGGGAGTATCAGACTCTTACTGACTAAAAACCACTCCGTTCCTACTCTTGCGCTTCGAGCTGGAGCCCCGACAACCCGTGAAGTCTTCCGCGGCTTCGTATCGGCATCAGCCCTGTTTGGCCCCATCTGTGGTGGTCTGATGGCCCCTTGAGGCGCGCGCGGAACGCGTCGCGCCGTACGTTCGGGTCTGGTCCTGGTCGGGCGGCAAGTCACCCGTGCAAACCTAAATCCTTAGCTTAGCCTCCAAAAGGTAATGCATTTGTAACTCCTCTTGTTTTGTGGATGTCCATAGACGGCGCCGATTGCTTACCATCAGGTAATCCGTCTGCCGTCCTATACTAAGATTCTTTTTGTAAACTGCTTTTAAATATCGGACTTCAACCCACTCTTTTTATTTGAAAGTCGGTTAATTGATACACTAAAACCTTCTCCTAAGTGTAACGAACATTTTTCTGGAAACCGCATCAAAATCGGTTCAGCCGATAGCGAAATAATCGCGCACAAACATACAGTGTTTTATAATTACTATAGTGAGACACTAAATTAACTAAAAATCGCGGGTTACTCACGTAAATATACTGAGAAATGCTGTCGCATCTGTCGCAGACGATGTGTGAGTACAGGCTGCGCGACCGCGCACGCTGCTCATTAGGAAGAACCCCTCTGTGGTTCGAAACTAGTAGAGCTTTTCTCAGTATATTCACGTGAGTCATCATCAACAGCCTATAACTGCCCACTGCTGAGCAAAGGCCTCTTCTCATACGGAGAAGGTTTGAGCATTAATCACCACGCTTGCTCAATGCGGGTTGGCGATTACAAACTAATAATTAGAAATTATAAGCCCAGGTTTCCTCACGATGTTTTCCTTCACCGTTTGTCAGTGGTGTCTAAATAATCTTAGAAAATACATATAACTCGGAAAAAGTCACATTGGTACTTGCCGTTGGTAGGTTTCGAACCCGCACCCTCATACATGAGAAGCGGGCGTCTTAAACCTCCGAGCCACAACGACGTCACGTGAGTAACCCGCGATTTTTAGTTAACACATAGGTACATACAGGTCCAACTGACAACCTTTATTTTCTTTTAAAATTCGGTCTAAAAAAATAATAGCAGAATTACTTACATTAGTGTTAATCAGAGCTTCAGAGCACCATCGCCTGTGTTTCTTTATACGCAACCACAGACATATAACCACGCTGACCAACACTAGACATATGGAGGCCGGCAGAACATAGTACAGCAAAATGTGTTCTAAGGAAAGCACCGCTTCAGGAGACTCATAAAAATTCTCTGAAATGAACAAAAACTATTAGTACGAGAGATGACGACCAAAACCAAGTCTCATAGCAATACGGCAAAAACCCTATAAAATCATTAGATTGTATGATTCTGAACCCGACTAGGTGTGTAGTAACGGTCGAAAGTGTAGCAACTGCGTGGGAGGCCATTTCTGCTGTGTCAAAAATATCTGAGTATCGATAAGTTGTCTGATAGAGAAGGTGCTACAGTTATTTTGTCTGATATAAATTTTTTGCACATGTGGACAACTTATTTTATCATGTCCAACAATTTTCAGACATATTGCCATGATACCGATCGGTAAAATTTGTTAACATTTTCAAAACGGTCTCAATATTTAATGCGTTCACATTTCCGTCTGAAAATTGTTTTGTTCGCATCAAATAACCAAAATTTACTAATAAAAAAGGTTTTCAGACGTATTGCTATGAGACATTTTTTTTGTCTGGTGTTTTTGTGGTCAGATCAAACGCTACGCGGAAAATGTCTGATATTGGTATTTTCGAGTTCAGGATAATCGTATCCATCGATTTGAGGTGGTTTTGGCCGTATTGCTATGAGACAAAAATTTTGGTCGTCATCTCTCGTACTATATATTATATACTAGCGAGCCGCCCCGGCTCCGCCCGGGTGCAATATACATGTATTATATATATAAACCTTTATTAAGAATCACTCTATCTATTTTTTTAAAAAAACCGCATCAAAATCCGTTGCGTAGTTTTAAAGATCTAAGCATACATAGGGACAGACAGACGGGCGGCAGATAGCGACTGTTTTATGCTATGTAGTGATTTTCGAACGTAATAGCCGATTCTACCAAACTCACTTACAATTTAAGGAACCCCTATTAGGCTCAGACTGCCTCGTTAGCGAGTGGTCAGGTAGATAAAGATTTTTGGGTTTTTAAATATTCTCAGTAGTAGCACGGAGTCTGGAATTGTGCCCGGTATATGGCAATAGGCTCACCTCTTATTACATGGGACGCATAACATAATAGTGAAAAGTGAATATTACATGTGCATTAAGTGCCGTAATGTGCACCTCAGCCTATCCCTTCGAGGGTAAAAGGCGTGATATTATGTTATTTATACTTAAATTTTGATAGACAACATTTTAGTGACATCTAAAGGTAAAGGTTTCTCTTGTTGTTTGTAAGTAGTTCTTAGTTTAACTCGTCGAGTACCGTATTTATAGACACAATTAAAGAACAATAGGTTGCGGTCACCGGTGACCGCTTGGTGTTTGACAGTTTAAGAGATGGTTTAGGGGTGGTTGGAATATTGATATCAAGTACGTCTCGATTTTTTTTCTAAAGCATAAGCCGGTTAACGAGCAGACGATTCACCTGATGGTAAGCAATCGGCGCCGCTCATGGACACTCGAAACACCAAGGCGTTACAAGTGCGTTACCGGCCTTTTGGGTATTGGGAATTTAAGGATGGTGGAGGATTCGGGGATTCGGGAGACGGGGACTAGTGAGGGGGGTAATTGGGCCTCCCGTAACCTCACTCACACGACGAAACACAACGCAAGCGTTGTGTTACGTCGGTTTTCTGTCAGACCGTGATATCACTCCCGTCGAGCCGGCCCATTCGTGCCGAAGCATGGCTCTCCCATACTTAAATCGATTCCTGCTAGGCTGCTATAACTTCGAAGTGAAATCGATTGCGGTCTGTTTTTGTTTGTAGAAATATTTGTGGAAGTAATCTCGGCCTCGATGACAATCGAGAATGCAATCGAGCTCGCCTCGAAAGTCGACATTTACAGAATAAGCTGATATTGGTCGGGATAAAGTGTGAGAGAGCCATGCTTCGGCAGGAGTGATACCACGGCCGAGCAGAAAACGTCGTGAAACAACGCTGTGTTTCGTCGTTGTGAGTGAGGTTACCGGAGGCCCAATTACTCCTCTCTTCCCCAATCCCTGAATCCCCGACAATCCTCAAACGCCTAATCCCCAAAAGGTCGGTAACGCACTTGTAATGCCTCTGGTGTTTCAGGTGTCCATGGGCGACGCCGATTGCTTATCATCAGGTGATTCGTCAGCTCGTTTACTGGCTTATCCCATAAAGAAAAAGTACCTATCCTAAAATCAAAATTATATAGGTAACCATAATGTGGCACTTTTGAAATGTCAACTTATCGGGGATAATGCTAAAAAATGACAAAAATAGAGATGTTTTCTCATTAAAATTAATTATTTTCCACTGTAAATTTATTATTGGTACCTACGAGGATATTAGTATCTAAAAATAAGGATAATTTGATTTACAAACTGTATCTGACTTTAATTATTATATTTGACATAAATACAGAATAAATATACAGTATAGTCTGCAATAATGTGTTATCCTGCCGTGCTGTGAATAATGATGAGTTACGTCAATATACTAAGAAACGCTCTACTCATTTCGAGTCACATGGTAGTACGCTGCACGCCGTCTCTGCGACCGTGCACGCTGCTATGAGGAAGAGTCCCTTTGTGACTCGAAACTAGTAGAGCTTTTGTCAGTATATTTACGAGAACAACTCGTAATTTTTAGATAATTCAGTTAGATAATAAATAATCATAACATAACATCACACCTTTTATCCTGAAGGGGATAAACACCACTTAATGCCACTGTACAATGTAACACCCTCTTTTCACTGTTTATGTTATGAGTCCCATGTAATAGGGAGTGAGCCTATTGCCATATACCGGGCACAATTCCATACTCCGTGTTACACCTGAGATTTAAAAAAACCCCAGTATTACTTTGCCCGACCCCTTGCCCGGCAGTCGCACTTGCGACCACTCGGCCAACGAGTCCGTAATGTATATTTATAATCTTAATATTAGTTTAAATTTAGTGATTGTGTGTTAACAATAACAATGTATAATTTTTTATAATAACTATCGTGAGACATACTAAATTAATTAACTAAAATCCCCTAGAAAGAAGAACCCCTCTGTGGTTCGAAACTAGTAGAGCTTTGCTCAGTATATTTATGTGAGTAACCCGCGATTTTAGTTAATGTATAAATTATAATTGTTTTTAACTTTTATATATATACATATATATATTTACCGGGCCATGAAATACTTACTACTTGGATCTTCAGTAATCGGTGCTGGAGTGGTAACTGGAGTATATTTTGTAAAATTAATGACAGTACGTGTTGTCGTTGAGGCATATGTTTTGCGCCGAGTATCTGTAATTAATTAATAATAATCTATTAATATTAGAAACTTGTATGCATCTATGTGCAACTCATGGCGAGCTAGGCTTCACCCAGTTGGACTGCACGGTTGGCGCAGTGGTTGGGCAACTGACTGCCGCGCAACGTGTCGCGGGTTCGATTCCCGCACGGAGCAACGCTTTGTGTGATCCACAGATTGTTGTTCTGGGTCTGGGTGTCATGTGTATGTGAACTTGTATATTTGTAAACGCACCCACGACACAGGAGATAATTCTAGAGTGGGGCAACGTTTTTTTAAAAAATAAAAATAAAGAATAAAGTTGTAAAGTGTGCCTTTAGACTAATTCATTCCGTCTCCTGCAGTAATTCACCCAGGGAAATGGAAACTATCGTTATTTTCATCTCCTCTTATCTTATACTATTAAATAAAACGGAAGAGTTTGTTTTTTTGTTTGTTTGTTTGAACGCGCTAATCTCCGTAACTACAAGTCTGATTTGAATAATTCTTTTTGTGTTGGATAGCGCATTTATCGAGGATGGCTATAGACTATAAAACATCACGCTACGACCAATAGGAGCTGAGCAGAGCGTGTGAAATCGGAAGTAGCTAGTAACTAATATCTTCTGATTTGTTTCGTTGCGGGAACCAAGACAGTTACTCATGTCCCTGGGACGCACCGGACTTCAGTGTTCCGGTGTTTTCATGGTTGTATCTACTGTAGATCCTGGCTTGAGTTGCAGCGGTTTTGGGATATTGTGGCGGGCTTGTCATGGCGTACTAGGAGGGATACGGTTTTTCGAACACTGTTGTAGCAAAAATGCCCAATTACCCTCCCCTTCCCCAATCTCCCCAATGCCTGAATCCCCAACGATCCACAAACTCCTTATCACCAAAAGGCCAGTAACGCAGTTGTAACGCCTCTGGTGTTCCAGGTGTCCATGGGCGACGCCGATTGCTTACCATCAGGTGATCCGTCTGCTCGTTTACCGGCTTATGCCATAAAAAAAGAAAAAAAGCTTCTTATCCAATCACTGTCGCTATCAGAAATTAAATGACCAATGGTGTGATACTAGCGAATTGCCTATTGGACGAGATGGTGCTAGCTCCATCTGGTGAGCAATAAGACGATGTTTATGATGTACTTACTGCCTTTCCGTTATATTTTTTTTTACTTAGTAAGTATATTTCCTAAAGTGTCTTCAAGGCCTGAGTGAATAGGTTGCTTATGGGACGACGTGATCCATCGTAGACCGCATCATCGCTTACCACCAGGCGAGATAGTGGTCTAACGGCGGCTCAAAAACTTCTTTAAGCCTTTGACTGCCAACAGAAAAATATTGTAGGCAAATCCTCCGCTGACGTAGGTCACCGGTGACCTACGCGACTGTTAACGTGTTAAAAACATTAAACTACAGATAATGGTAAGTAAAGCTGTGTTAAAAACTTTCCATAAAATACTGACTGTTAGCTTTTGTTGACAATAATTGTACTCGATGCTTTGCTTTCTGCTTAGTTACTGAAGCGTACGTCTTTTTAATTAGATCTGCAATGCAAAATTAATATTTGTTACTACACTTGGACGCAAAATTAACGGAACCTTTGGCGTTTTTTTAATTTTATCTAACGTTTAATAACTTTAAAAGTACTTTTATTTCAATGGGTAACTAATTTGCTTTTTATACGACATAAGTTGTTTTTATGGCATAAGCCGGTAAACGAGCAGACGGATCACCTGATGGTAAGCAATCGGCGTCGCCCATGGACACCTGGAACACTAGAGGCGTTACAAGTGCATTTTGGAGATTAGGAGTTTGAGGATCGTTGGGGATTCAGGAATTGGGAAGATTGGGGAAGGGGAGGGTAATTGGGCCTCCGGTAACCTCACTCACACGACGAAACCAAATGCAAACCTATGGGAGAGCCATGCTTCGGCTCAAATGGGCCGGCGCGACCGGAGCGATTCCACGGCCTCACAGAAAACGAACGTGAAACAACGCTTGCGTTTTGTTCAGTCGTGTGAGTGAGGTTACCGGAGGCCCAATTACCCCCTCTCCTCAGTCACCGCAATCCCTCACAATCCTCAAATTCCCAATTCCCAAAAGGCCGGTAACGCCTATGGTGTTTCAGGTGTCCATGGACGGCGCCGATTGCTTACCATCAGGTGATCCGTGTGCTCGTTTACCGGCTTATCTCATAAAAAAGACATGTGTCAGAAAATATTTATTAAAAAATGAAGAAAAACGATAGTGGTTCCATTTTTTGCACCCAAGTGTAGGTTGTTAGGTTAACCATGTCGTGATGGAAGTCATGGAAGACAAGAAACCATTTTGTCAATTGTCCCCACCTTTTCCTGCGAATATGAGCCGACTAAGGAACTGCTTTAACATAGACCGGACTTTAATATAGGAGCTCTCTCTAACAAACCCTGCAGTTGTAGCCAAATGCCATTTAGCGCCTGTCTACATGTAGAATAGAAAACCAAATTATATGCAACTAGCTTTTACCCGCGGCTTCACTCGCGTCACAAAAGGATAAAAAGTAGCCTATGTGACATATGTCAATACACACAGCGCCATCTATACCAATACTTTTGTTTTTCCTCGAGAATATCAAATTTTTCCGGGTTAAAAAGTAGGTACCCTATTATTTAATCCGGACTTCTAACTTTACGTCTGCAAAAATTCAAAGCAATCGGTTGAGTAGTTACGGCGTGAAGGTGGAACAAACAAACAAACTCACTTTCCGATTTATAATAGAAGTAAGGATAAGGATTGACGTAAATTTTGACACTTTGTCAGTGTCATCCCCATACGTTTAGTTTTCTACTCTCTCTGTAGACAAGCGCTAAAGTGGCGTTTGGCTAAAGGCCTTGAACCTTTTAAACTGCGGTTTCCGACCTGCCGGCCAAGCTTGGAGATTACTATCCCCACTTGTTACCTCATATTTAAGCAAAAATAATTAATTACTTGTAAATCCTTTGGACAAATCCACCGTAAGTATACACCAATTCGGACTGCAGCAAATACAGCCTTCTGCAAAAATTAAAACTATGTGTTAGTACAGTGCTTACTCTTGAAACCAATCTCAATGTTAATGCAATTTCAATCTAATACAATCTCAATGTCGTAGTGGCCCGGAGGTTTAAGACGCCGCTTCTCATGCATGAGGGTGCGGGACCGAAACCTACCAAAGGCAAGTACCAATGTGACTTTTTCCGAGTTATATGTAGGTACTGATTATTTAGACACCATTGACAAACGGTTCGACGTGGAGGGCTAAGGGGGAGGCCTTTGTCCAGCAGTGGACGTCTTCCGGCTGTTGATGATGATGATGACAAACGGTGAAGGAAAACATCGTGAGGAAACCTGGACTTATAATTTCTAATTATAAGTTTGCTATCACCAACTCGCATTGAGCAAGCGTGGTGGTTAATGTTCAAACCTTCTCCGTGTGAGAAGAGGCTTTGCTCAGCAGTGGGCATATATAGGCTGTTGATGATGATGAAAATCTCAATTATTATTCAATGTCAACATTATACTTCCCCTATTGTAGATGTTAAAATAGCATCGGACCAGTAAACAAAGATATACAATACTAGCTTCTGCCCGCGACTTCGTACGTGCAATCCCGTTTACTCCCGTTCCCGTAGGATTCACAAGATTTTTTCTGTCATAAGAACCTTCTCCTGACAATAAAAAAAAAAAAAAAAAAATCAGCCAAAACATAGATAGAAGATAGATGATAAAGCCGAAGTGTTTGTTTGTTTGAACGCGATGATCTCCGAAAGGACTGTTTCGAATTTAACACATTACGGCAAGTATTTGGCCGTATTTGATTCTCAGCCAGTGCGGTAGCTCGTTGTCCTTGTTTTGCGTACTGTGCGGGGGCGATTTATCTAAGTTTTTGAAAAATCTCTGTATCTTTCAAAGTATAACAGAGAACCCAGGGCGACTGCAGCTAGGTATATACAAGGATATAGTCTATCGATTTGTTGATAAAACCATTGATATAGGGGGTTTCCACGTCTGTATAGGCTTTGAAAGTCAGGGTCTGGTACGGCAAAATAGAAGCCGTAACGCATATCAGGAAACATAGATACGGGCAGCATTTGTCTCGTATCGCACTAGTAGAAAGTTTAGATTTAACGCTGCCGCAGTGAATGTGTTAATAGTTATTTTTGTGATGATATTGCATTTTTCGAGGAAGGATATAAAACATCACGCTTCGATCAATAAAAGCCGAGCGGATGAAACAGCGTGGAAATAGCTAGTGTTAGAAACATAGACAAAAAGAAACGAAATGTCATCGCATAGGTAGCGGGAAAATATAATCTGTGGTTCGAACAATGAAAAAGTCAAGATGGCGGGAACTCGGAAATTATTGAGACGGTGTATTTGGTGTTGAGGGAATTTTATTCTATTTGAAAGTCAATTTGCCTATTTATGTGTTGTTGTCGTTTTTCTTTCCAATTAATAGTTATGGTTTAGTTAGTCCTGATTTTGTAATTTGATTTCGATGTTAATAATATAAGGTGAATTGTAATGGTACTCTTCATTTCTCCTGCCTGCTGAGTTTCTAAAATCCAATGTGGTTTAAAACCAATAAGCTCCTAATATCAAAGAGTAAGGGGAACTCTATGACAGTTTTTAAGTTTTCTAATACTAGCATAATAATAATTTAGCAAATACTTACTCGATGACGACCTGGTCCATGGTCGACTTCTTGTGGTAGAAATATCCCTTCCATTTGCAACCTTAAAACTGTATATTCCGCTTAGAGTCTTCAAGTCGACGGACACTGTCGCTGTGAGGTGCATCAAACGGCTTTGGATATGTATTGACGGTTTTTTTAAATCAATTGTTTTCTTCGTGTCCAATACTACACCTGAAAATAATTCAATTCAATTCAATTCAATCGATTAAGTTTATTCAAATAAAAAACTTAAATTAAAAACTAACTATTACTTAAAAAAATTAAAACTAAATATTACTAAATTAAATACCTATATACAACTAATGATTAAAATTAATTATAAGAAAAAACAAAAACAACTATTTACATAAAGCGTCGAAAAATTCGTCCGCATCGACGTCAGTGGGGAAAGTACCCAGAAGGCTGGCAGCATTGCCACGTTGTATGGCAATGCTTAACCTCGGACCGAGAAAAAGACCAGCCCTCTGGTCACTATTGTCATTCAATTCAATATTTTATTGCACTCTATAAGTGTCATGAAGGTGTTACATTAGATATTTTGATACATTATGGACCCCGTAGGGCACGGCAACGTAATGAGAGGAGGAAGCTTGTTTTGTAACTATTATTATAATTTTACTATTTGCCATAAATTGATTAGATTATATTAAATTATTAATTAAACAAAACATAACATCACATCACGCCTTTTATCCCTGAAGGCAGAGGTGCACATTATGCCGCTGTACATTGTAACACCCACTTTTCACTATTTATATTTATGTTATGAGTTCCATGTAATAGGGGGTGAGCCTATTGCCATATACCGGGCACATTTTCAGACTCCGTGCTACTACTGAGATTTTTTTAAAACCCAGTAGTTTTTTTGCCCGACCCGGGAATCGAACCCGGGACCCCTTGCCCGCCAGTCGCACTTGCGACCACTCGGCTAACGAGGCAGTAATAAAACATACAATAGCATGCTCAAAAATCGAACGCCAGCTTGCCCGGAATGAGCATACTAATAATAATAAGTGTGGAAGAGCCATGCTTCGGCACTGCTGGGCCGCCTCGACCGGAGTGATACCACGGCCGAGCAAAAAACCGACGTGATACAACACAATTGCGTTGGGTTTTGTCGTGTGAGGCATAATTACCCCCCAATCTTCACAATTTTTTTTTTAAAAAAAAACGTTGCCCCACACTAGGATTTTCTCCTGTGTCGTGTGTACGTTTACAAACATACAAGTTCACATACACATCACAAAGTGTTGTGTCACATCACAATTTGTGGATCACACAAAGTGTTGTTCCGTGCGGGAATTGAACCCGCGACACGTTCCACGGCAGCCGGTTGCCCAGCCACCGCACCAACCGTGCAGTCAATTCCTGAATCCCTAACAATCCTCAAACTCCTAATTCCCAAAAGGCCGGTAACGCACTTGTAACGCCTCTGGTGTTCCAGATGTCAAATTATCCATGAGCACCGCCGTTGCTTACCATCAGATGATCCGTCGCTCGTTTACCGATTTATCCCAGAAAAAAAAGTTACTGAATAGTGAATAACCTAACAGTCTCCTACCTTTTTTTAAGGGGGGTAAATCATCGATTTACTGCTCCCGCTTGGGTGAGGCGGGAGTGTCGGACTCTTACTGACTAAAAACCACCCCGTTCCTTCTCCTGCACGTCGAGCCGGAGCCCCGGTTACCCGTTAGGTTCTCCGCGACTCCGAATCGGCATCGGCCCTGTTAGGCCCCATCTGTGGTGTTCTGATGGCTGTTTAAGGCGCGCGCGGAACGCGACGCGCCGTACGCTCGGGTCTGTTTCTGGTCGGACGGGGAGCCACCCATGCTCGCCGTCCGCAGGCCCGCGCTTACGGTGGCCGGAGATCGTCCCGCGATCCCCGACGCCCGGTGAGTCCTTCGCGATGGCAGTCTCCTACCTTAGGTGTTAGTTTACCAAAGTGAAGTGAATAATAACAAACCTGATCGAAATACATAACTCAGCTCAGTGACGTTTGGTGGACAATTAATAAAGTTAATTGTCATATTTAGCTCATTTTGCGCGTTGTACGTAAAATCATACGGCTTGTCGTAGCGAACTATGAAATCTGAAATAAAGTATAAAGCTTGTAGATACTCAACTACTCACGGCTACACATCGAGCTTTACATAAGTATAACCAGTATAAACTGAACGTTAAATGTGCGGAAAGATGATGCGACGCGACACCAGGATAAACTGGTTTTGTATAGACTGATGTGTGGCCGTGTGTACGTAATAATATTATAGGGTAAATGCCTAATTTTTATTTTAATGTCCGTCTGGTAGATTATTTTAAACCATTAGACTCGTATTTTTTATTTTCTTACTAAAACGAATACTTTCGACAATATATTGATTTGAAATGTCGCGTGACGTCACTTCTATGTATATTTACCGACTTCAAAAAAAGGAGGAGGTACTATGTTCGGCTGATTGTTTTTTTTTTTGTTTGTTCGCGCAGTACTCCGCCTTTGAGAACCGATTTTAAAAATTCTTGTTTTGTTTGAAAGGGTATCCGAGATGGTCCCATTTCCATGAGGTCAGGATCTGATGATGGGATCCTAGGGAAACCGAGAGGAACTTTCGAAAATTCTATGGGCGAGTAATGCGTGTATTATGTTTTTCAATTACGATTTTTAAACACTACAATTTGATAAGGGTCTGAAGTCGACCTGATGATGGAGCCGACAGACAGTCGAGGGAACTCTTCAGCGGTTTATATTAACTACCTTGTGTTTCGGCTTGATTAATTTGTATTGATGAGGACTTTACACCTAGATAGAGTGGGGCTGTCATTAAGGGTCTGATGATGAAGAAGTGTAATTGTTAAGGGAACTCCTCAACGGTATACAGTAACTACCTTGTGTTTGGGCTTGATTAATTTGAATTGATGAGGACTTTACACCTAGATAGAGTGGGGCTGTCATTAAGGGTCTGATGATGAAGAAGTGTAATTGTTAAGGGAACTCCTCAACGGTATACAGTAACTACCTTGTGTTTCGGCTTGATTAATTTGAATTGATGAGGACTTTACACTTAGATAGAGTGGGGCTGTCATTAAGGGTCTGATGATGAAGAAGTGTAAATGTTAAGGGAACTCCTCAACGGTATACTGTAACTACCTTGTGTTTGGGCTTGTATAATTTGTATTGATTAGAATTTTGCACCTATGTAGATTATAAGTAACAAAACGGGTATATGTAGCTTTACACTGAAAATGATAAAATAATAAAATAAAAACTGCGTTTAAAAAACCGACTTCAAAAAACCAAAAACTAATAACAAACAAAAAGTCAAAACTAAAAAGCAAAAAATAACTATTATTAGTACTGATAGGTTACCCACCCACTGATAGGTTAGAAGTCGGTGCCATAAGCTCATATCATAATGATATAACTTAATGCCCACAAAATTGTGAATCAGGTACCTATTACGTTTTAATGAATCATTTTGTATGGAACTTATTTATACGTAGAAATGACGTTTTAGCCCCCACTCCTACACTTTGATTCGTTTTATTTAAGTATTGTTTTATTATACGACAAAATAAAAATACGTGTCTAATATTTTTTCATTACCTAACTTACGGATTAATTTGATTTTTAATTTTCATACTCTTTCATCATCCCTTATACACCACGGAGTCGCTTCCTTCTGTGAACAAGTCATGTTGGAAAAGGAAGCGGCTGAAAGGGAGAGAGAGGCGTCAAGTTCTCTCCCCTCTCGCCGTAGACGCGCCGGTCGTCAACGCCGTGAAGCGGCAGCCGATCTGCGACCTCCATGAGAGGAGAGGCCTGCGGGCGACTGACCGGGGGAGTCAGGTCAGACGTCCGCTATATAGGCGGGAGTAGGCGGTAGCGTAGTGTTCCACGCGCGCTACTCGAAGAAGGGAAGCAGCCTCCTAGGGCCGCTAAAGTGGCGGGACCTGCCGCAAACATAGCGGTAGATTGAAGCCTGCCGGATGTGGTGATTCCGTAAGGGCAACCCGGGTCACGGTCACAGGCAGTGAAGGAACACCGCGGTGGTTTTAGCCGGTAAGAGTCCGGCACGCCCCCTCGTCGTCCCCACGACGCGGGAAGTCCATGAGGATTTCCATCGCGATAGAAAAAAAAAAAAAATCCCTTATACACCATAACATCACATCAAGTGGCCTATAAGTGGCCACTGCTGACCCAACGGTTCACCCTTGTTTGGTTCAACAAAGTTTCGTCGAAAATGACTTCATCGAATTTTAGTTGCCATAAAGTCGTAGATTTATTCCTTTGACCGAATAATTCATTGGTAAATTTTTTTACCTTAAATAATTATTATTTATTTGAACTAATTTCATTTCGCCGAAATTTGAAATGCACTAATTTTATTGATGTTTTTGTTATAAACGACTACCTAAATGGTATGAAAAGATTTAAAAAGCAGTTAGTGATAAAACCTTGTGAACTGTGACCCGTTCTAACATAACATATTAAAGTGTGGGAGAGCCATGCTTCGGCACGAATGGGCCGGCTCGACCGGAGTGATACCACGACCTCACAGAAAGCTGACGTGAAGCAACGCGTGCGTTGTGTTTCGCCGAGTGAGTGAAGTTACCGGAGGCCCAATTACCCTCCCCTTCCCCAATCCCTAACGATCTTCAAACTCCTAATCCCCAAAAGGCCGGTAATTCACTTGTAACGCCTCTGGTGTTTTAGGTGTCCATGGGTAACGCCGATTGCTTACCATCAGGTGATCCGTCTGCTTGTTTACCGGCTTATGCCATAAAAAAAATCATAGGTAACCAAATGTGTTGGGGTGCCCAAAAATTTTTGCTAGAACATTTAGATTTACTAAAAGCAAGCAAGCAAGTAATTTAAAATTAGTTTAACTGTTTTCTAGTTCACAATATACCATCTGAACATTACATCAAATGAACATTGAACCTTTTGTTGTTATCTATATCTATATATAAAAATGAAACGAAATGAAACGAATGGAGTTTCTTGCTCGTTCTTCTCCATTCGAATCTACTTTTTGGAATGAGCATCTAGCTTCACCTAGTTTCACTGACGGACTGACTGACAGACTATTATTTATTTTGTATTTGTTGACGTTTCAAAAGTACCAAACTATGGTGGACTTTGACTTTGAAACTCGTTTCCCGTTCTCACGCCATAACTTGGGAACGGTTAGACCGATTTGGCTGATTTTTTTTTTGTTGTATTTATTATTGTCAAGAGAAGGTTCTTGCGACAGAAATCGGAACGGGAGAAAAAAGGATTGCGCGTACGAAGTCGCGGGAAGAATCTAGTAGCAAATAAATATTCGATGAACTGAAAATTCTGTCAATCGATATAGGTACCTACAAGTGAAAGTTAAAGTATAAGAATAAGTCAAACGATATTATACTAAGTGATGATTTTCTTAAACGTTGTTCAATTTTGTAATATTATAACAAACTTTGTTCGATCAAACAAGGGTGAACCCTGACAAAAGGTCTTTTCTCACACGGATAAGGTGATAAGCATTAATCACCACGCTTGCTCAATGCAGGTTGGCGATTTCAAACTTATAATTAGAAATTAAGCCCAGTTTTCTGCACGATGTTTTCTTTCACCGTTTATCAGTGGCGTCTAAATATTCTTAATCTTAGTACATCTTAATACTATGTAACTAGAGAATTGTATTGTGAGCCTGATTGAAAAAGAGTAACCTATGGAGTTTCTTGCTCGTTCTTCTCGATAGAAATCTACGCCTTTGAAATAAGGAACTAGCTTCACTTCTTGTTGTTGTTGACGTTCAAAAGTGCATTTCTGGTCTAATTGTAATAAATGATTCTGACTTTTGACTTAGGTATAATAGAAAAAGTGACAGTGGTACTTGTCGTTGATAGGTTTCACAATCGCACCCTCGTGCATGAGAAGCAAGCGTCTTAAACCTCCGGGCCACCACGACATGTATTTTACAAAGTGAGCAACTAAAATTTACAATGTAGCCAGGAGACATACATAGCTATCTACTAAATTAATAATTATGTTTTCGGCTTAACCGACGAGCATGCATGAAAAGACTGATGACTGTTGATGAAGCGAAAGAGGTATGTAAGAATCGTTGCAATTGGCGTTCCATAGGCTCTGCCTACTCCTATAGCAGACAGGCGTGAGGTTATGTATGTTTTCGGCTTACTCACGTAACTAGAGGCTCATATTGGTTTAGCTTTTACTAGCTTCTGCCATCGGCTCCGCCCGAGTTTCCAAGGGTCAAAAGTCGCCTACCTGGCTGTTATTCCATATTCTTCCTCTGTTCCAAATATTTATTTATTTATTTAAACTTTAATGTACACAGAAGCAAGTAATGGTACATAAGGCGGACATTAATGCCATATGGCATTCTCTCCCAGTCAACCGTGATGATGATGATGATGATGCCTACAGCTGTATTGACGAGATTGTGTAACAAACACATAAACAAACACACTCTTTTATTAGGTAAATATATACTTACTGCTTTCGATAGCAGAATTGTTCGGAATATCAATAGCTTCCATGATACCAAAAAAAACCAAAAGCTTATCAATAAATTTCATTATAAATATTGATAAAAAAATATATGGATCCGATTATAAGTTCCACACAGATACCATTCCCAGAAAACACTGTTTATTATTTTTATTTTATTTTTTCTATTACGGATAACAATAATGAGTTGTTCGAATTATGTGCAGCCGTTCTCGAGTTCGGAGTTTACAGACACATATTTATTTAACTATATAGGTTATATTATTCACTTCAAATTAAATATATTTCTTTAGTTAGTACACCGAACACTTCTGATGATGACTTGTTAATGTGAACTTTAATATTATGAGTTATGACTACAAAATGCAGTCAAAGATGGTCATATCGATTTATTTATGTTGAAATATTTATCCACTACATTTTCCTGTGGGCTTACGTCATAAAGGATAATGCACGTTTAATGTGATCCGTTTACTATGACAAATATTTATTTAAGTTTTAAGTTAATTCGGTCTTACGATAGTCATAATTGTGTAACTGTTTAATAAGTGAGCCGTCATTCAAACTGGAATGATACTAAAAAAATGAAGATTTTTGTAATTAAAAACGGTTCTAAAATACAATTCCTTTATTGCTTCTCAAAAAACATCTAAAAATACTCGTATATCCAGAGAAATAAGGATCAAAATGATTTAACAATAAAATATTGCTTAAAAACAACAAAAATAAATGCACATGGAATCTGCGTCGACATCTTACACTGTTAAAGTTACTCTTAGCTAAAATTCGGTTTTTATGGAAAATACTGAAAATTGTAAATCAACAAAAAATGGACGATTTTCAAAAAAATACTGCAGTTATATAATATTAAAATAATAATACACATTATGATCACACATACCGGAAATTAGCACCAAATCATTATTAATTCCGGTATATTTACGAAAATCGGTTTGAACCGGTATTTTTGTTCTAAAAATCGGTGTTTATCGGTCAATTTCTCCGAAGACCACGTCGAGGGTGCCGATGATAGCAACGATATCTGCTAGCATGTGGTTTTTGCCGACTTTCTCTAGAGCAGCCAGGTGAGCGAAGCCGGGCGCCTTGATCTTGCATCTGTGGACAAAATATATAAAATCACATCGTTTTTAATTGACAGTAAGCTTCTGCCCGCGACTCTACCCACGTTTGCGTAGGATAATAAGTAACCTATGTGTTTTAGACCATAATCTACCCCTGTTTCAAATTTCAGCCCGATCCCTTCAGCCATTTTGATGTGAAGGAGTAACAAGCAAACATACACATTGACTGCACGGTTGGCGGTAGCTGGACAACCGGTAGTCGCGCAACGTGCCGCGGATTCAATTCCCGCACGGAGCCTCTCTTTGTGTGATCGACAAATTGTTGTTCCGGGTCTGGGTGTCATGTGTATGTGAACTTGTATGTTTGTAAGCGCACACACGACACAGGAGACAATCCTAGTATGGGGCAATGGTAAATAAAAAACAATCTCAGAAACTTTCGTAATTATAATTTTAACTAGCTATTTCCGCGCGGTTTCACACGCCCTGCTCAGCTCCGATTGGTCGTAGCGTGATGTTTTATACCCTATAGCCATCCTCGATAAATGCACTATTCAACACAAAAAGAATTATTCAAATCAGACTTGTAGTTACGGAGATTAGCGCGTTCATACAAATAAACAAAAAAACAAACCCTTTCGCTTTATACAATAGTATAAGATATAAGATATAAGCTACCTTCAGAAAGGTGTCTCATTACCTGTAAGGCTTGGATCCTCCGTCAGAGACGAGGTAGATCCCGAACTCTCCCTTCGGAGCCTCTACAGCCGTGTACGTGGACCCTGGGGGCACCTGGTAGCCTTGCGTGAACAACTTGAAGTGGTGGATGAGGGCCTCCATTGACGTCTGGAATGATATACAAGTAATATATCAAAATTATGTTGAACGGTGTTAATCTACCAATCAAGCCTTTACGTCTGATATCCATAATGGAGGTAGTTGTGGAAACAATTAGATTATATTGTATGGTCATCAAGATTAAGAGTGTGTACCAAATATCAAATCGATCTGTCGTCAGGAAGGTTTGAAATTCAAATTACAGTAGAAATTCGATTAACCGGTCTATTGGTTGTCAGATAATTAAAAATCCGGATAATTGAATTTTTAATAAAAACTTAGACGTACTACGTCTCGTGTATATCAACAAAAACCAATGTTTAATTAAGTTTTCGTTTTCTTAAGTTAGGTACCATTTTTTACCATTCATAACATAAATAGTGAAAAGTGGGTGTTACATTGTACAGTGGCATTTAGTACTGTAATGTGCACCTCTGCCTAACTCTTCGGGGATAAAAGGAGTGATGTTATGTTGTTATTATTATAAAATTACTAGAATATGGAAGGCATACCTTCATCTCCTCGCGCGAGGGTGGCGTGAGCTTGGCATCGTCCGTCTTGACCTCCCCGGGAGGCATCTGGTTGAGGCACTGGTCGATGATGCGGAGCGACTGACGCATCTCCTCCACGCGGCACAGGTATCTAGAATAATAGAAGAGGATTATGAAGACAAGCTCGGATCCTATTTAAGGTAGCGTGCAAATTTAAAAATGTGTCTATTAGTGTGTGTTACCGACGCCAGATGTCGAAAATGGTCATTTGAATCTTATAGATAATTAGTTGTGCGGCTTCTGTAATTGTTGCGCATATTTTTAAATTTGTTGTGCTCACAGTTTTTTAATTATTTCACAAAAACATTTACTGCTGGGGTAACGTTACCCCAGCCAGACCTTTTTCTTTTTAAAGGGAATATTTAAATAATTACTAGCTATAAAATTAGTTGTCTAGATGAAGTAAATGTTGTGCCTTATTTTGTATTTGTTCTTTCATCGGTTGCGAAGTTATTCGAGATTTTGCTGGGGTAACGTTTTTGGTTTTGCTACATCTTTGAAATAGTTAAGCGGATTTTTATCATATTTTGTACATGGCTTCTTAGGAACCAGTTTAGATTTGTTCTGCAATAAAAAACCAAAATAATACACAGCTTGTAGGTTATGTCATTAAATAAGAAAACACTTCAATTGGTCCCAGCACTCTCAATAAGAGCTCTAAAGACTTACATTAATACATGCTCCATAATTATGTAAGTTTAAGTCGTGTTTGGCCCTTACGTTTTACTTGTTGTGGGGGGCAATAGTCTGCATATAAATTATTGTAAAATTGTGTTGCTGTTATATGTTATTTATTATGTCTTCTCTTCTTGTCACAGTTTCATTTCTGCGTTTTCACCTTTGCTATCTATTCCTTATGAACTTTCCTTAATTCTTTCCAAGCTTTGCGCATTCCTACAGTTTTAACAATTTGTTTTTCGAGAGTTTGTAGTCATTTATTGCAGCGATCTTGCCTGATGTTCTCTCTTATATCAAAAAATGGAAAAAGCACCAGGCTTGGATAATATCTGCAATGGACTACTCAAAGCACCGTCGGAAGAACTAGTCCCAATACTAACAAAATTATTCAACAGAATGATGAATGAACTGTATATATCTACATAGTGGGAAACTTCACACAACACATTACTGCACAAAAAAGGTTCAAGAGAGGACATAGGTCATTATAGGCCTATAAGTCATATGTCCAACCTATATAAAGTATGCTCGAAAGTCATATTAGAAAGAATAACACAAAAACTAGAAAATAACCAGCCGATGGAACAAGCCGGTTTTAGGAAAAAGTTCTCCATGATAGACCATATCTGTTATATCAGGTCTCTGTCATATGGTATATCAGGTCTGTTTCTGGTCGGACGGGGAGCCACCCATGCTCGGCGTCCGCAGGCCCGCGCTTACGGTGGCCGGAGATCGTCCCGCGATCCCCGACGTGTGTCCTTCGCGATGGCTGGGTCGCGAGGAGGCAGCGCTTCGCTACCTCACGCGTCCCGCCTCCTCCTTAGCTAGCATGACTGCTTCGCAAAAAGAGGAGACGGCATCCCAGTCCCCCTCGCTCCGCATCATGGCCTGCACTAGGCCCGGATGCGAGAGGTCGCCATCGCCGATCACTTCCCTGAGGGCACGGCGGTGCTCAGCCCACGCAGGGCATTCCGCTATAGTGTGTTCCACCGTGTCCTCAGGGCGGTCCTCGCATTGATATATTACCCTGTATAACATATGGTTGTGAAACATGGGCCCTCACAAAATAACATAGAAACAAACTCCAGTACTATCAAAGATCCAAGGAAAGAAGTATGACAGGTATACATATTACATATACATAGCATGTAAGAAACGACCAACTACGAGCAAAAACAAAGGTGGGTCTACCACCTTTGTTTTGTTTTGAATCTTAAATAAAATTGACCAACAAAAATGGCGTTGGACCGGTCATATGATGAGAAAAACCAAGGAAAAATGGTGCAAGATAGTAAATGATTGGTATCCAAGAGACGGTAAACGCAGAAGAGGAAAGCAGTTAAAAAGATGGGAGGACGAACTAAGGCTAACAGCGGGACCCAACTGGAGAAGAGTGGCCCGCGACAGAATTTAATAGAGACAGCTAGAGGAGGCCTTTGCTAAAAGGCACACTGAATTAAGAGATATACTGTAACTGTAATATTTTTGTAACAACTCTTATTGTAAAGATTCAGAATAAAGGGCTTTATTATTATTATTATATTATACTAAACATTTCAAAAGATGGTATAATGTTCTGCGTTTTCGCTTTTTCGTAACCACCTAAACATGGTCGGGCTACCACGGTCATTCACTTCCTAATGACTTTAATCGTATTATCTCATTAATTATCCAATGTACTGAGCTGAAATTTTAGTGATATAAAACTGAACTAAAAAACGAATTATTGACATAACATTCAGTTCATATATCCAATCCAGTGGCGAAAAACACCGCGCGCATCAAGACCGTGCTCGTGAAGAACTCAAAATCATCATAACTTGTTAAATACTTACAGGATACTAAAAAAACTTCACATACTTTTGAAGGCAGTTACAAGCTTTAAAATAACGTTTAAAGTAAGTCTTTAGAGCTCTTATT